CCCAGTGGTGTTGTAATTTTCTCTCTGGCACATGCCAGGATGGCCTCAAGTTTCCCTCCTGGACACCTAAGGGCACACAGCCTTCAAATTTCTAGACTTCTTCCCCCAGCTCCAAGGCTGTGCTCCGTAGGCTGAGTGGTTTGGGTTAGCACCTGTTGGCCAGACTTGAAATTAATTTAGGGGATGAAATAGAATATCATTCAAAATATTAAAATATAAAATTTTCTATCTACGCATACATAGCTCTCGAGCCACTACCCCCTCTCGTCTCTCCTGAGTTCCCATATTCAGAAACTTGGCATGCTGTGATTGCCCAGCTTATTATTATTCTGTTGCTGTTCAATTGTTTCAGTCGTGTCTGACTCTTCGTGACCCTATTTGAGGTTTTCTTGGCAAAGATGCTGGAGTGGTTTGCTATTTCCTTCTCCAGCTCATTTTACACTTGACAAAATTGATGCAAACAGGGGTAAGTGACTTGCCAGGGTTATGCAGGTAGTAAATATCTGAGGCGAAATTTGAATTCAGGAAGATGAGCCTTCCTGACTTCAGGCCTGGCACGCTGTCGATGCACCACTTAGCTACCCATGGTTTATTATACATTTTATAAAACGGAAAGTCAGTCAATCAACATTTATTAAGCACCCGTTGTGTGCCAGCCACTGTACTAGGTGCTGGAAGGTGTATAGGTAGACTGCCCTGGTAGGTAAGCCTCATCCCCAGCGATCCCTTAAACCTGCTTGCCTTTCAGGATCCTTGGATGTGGCAAGGAAGGAGACTTCCAGCAATATGTGGAAAAGGTTTCTGGAAAGGTTTAAGGGAAAAGGCATCTACATCCTTTCTCAGAATCACTAACTAGAAACAAAGGAGATTGGGGAACACCATGCCCAGTTCCTGCCCAGTTCCTGACTTCCTTTAGACTTGCAGACCATGCCCCCTCTACTGCTGGCTCATCTGAGAGCTTTCCTCATTGCCTGGGGTCACCCCCTGCCACCCCCATGACCCACTCACTATGGAATAGTCTTCTGCAAACCCCCTGCCATGGGTAAATTCTTCCTGGAGAGATCCAAGCCAACCTTCTGACTTCTCAGTTCCCCTTTGGTGTGTTGAGGAAGTCAAGGACTCTTTCTTTTTGCTTTGTACCCTCACTGTTTAATCCAGTGTATGCTTAATAAATACTTCTTCCCATGCATTCTTCCTTTCCTTCATCACCCACCTTGGGGAGCCCAGTGGGATTTATAACAGTTGGCAGCCTCAGCAGCTTTCAACAGTTTGCCTGAGAGCCGGTGCTTTGGTGGATGGCAAGCTCAGTGCCAGTCAATGGTGTGATGTGTTAGCCAACCAAGTTCAATGAGGCACAGCTCCGGGTGGGTGAGTCTTGGCTTGGGAGACTGGTTGATGGACGAAATAAAGGCAGGTCTTCAGGGAAAAAGTACTGAGGTAAAGAGTCTTGCCTTGGCTGGGCTACACAAGGGTTTTTGTTTTAGCCTTCCCTCTTTCTTTTCATTTGCATATGGGACCAAAGGATTTTAGGAGGTTGAGAAAAAACTTTGGGGCCTGAGACCATACAGCGTTGTGGAATTTTGTTCTCCACAAAAAAAAGTGGTCTGCACAGTATCCTCGTAAGGGTCTAAGTGGGAATTACAAAAAGTCTCTACCCCTAAGTCAAAGAGTTCTCTGGGATGATAGACATGATAGTATAAAAAATAGATTGAATCCCTAGATGTTTTGTGAGCTTGGATCCTGGATCTCCTCCTGGAGAGAATGTAGCTGAGGCTCTAGGAATCAAGAGAAAGTCACGTGGAGCTGAGACAATGGGAATGAACAGATTTCTCTCCCGAAGGTGAGCCTTGTCTCTAGGGTTAAGATCTTTGCAAGTCAAAACAGCTAGCTACATAGAGCCCATGAAAGGGTTTCCTCCTTCACTAAAAGAGGTTAAGCTTAAGCCTCTGGGCTCTGGACTAAAAGAGAAATGGTGAGGCCACTCTTCCTCTAATGGGGAAGAGGCAGCATCTCATCTGAAGACTCCAATGGAAGCCAGAATCTAGAAAAAGAAAGAGGTGCAGTAGCCAGCCGTGGCCATGAGACCAGCAGAAGATGGTTTAGCTGGGAACATGATTCTGGGCTCTTCTCTTCCAGAAGAGACAACGTATCATGCAAGACCCATGGGAGCAAAAGAACTTCAGAACTGGAAGGAACCTTGGTAGCCTGATTTAGTAGGGAAGGAATGGACAGTTCTACCATCTCATCAGATTGATGTAATCACAGAAAATAAAGGTCAGATATCAGGAAGCCAGATGCTGATGTGTTATTGGTCCTTTGTTTCCAAAAAGGGCCAATGACATCACAGGTGATATCTTCACTTGGGTGTGAATTGGATTTAAGTGAGGCAGAGTTGCACAAAGTCATCAGCCTCCCTCACTTCTTGAGTCACTAAAGTCCAGTGGCAAGACAAAAGTCAGGATGACTGACTAGCGGTGGCCCAGGATGCAGCGGATGACCTTGGTGTCTTTGACATTTGACCAAGTGCTCAGTGTTCCATGGCACCTGCTTCAGCCTGCCTTCGTGGCTGTTGGAACAAATTGTTCTCATCCACCCATTCTACTTTGCACGCTTGGGGTAGACATCCCCTTAATTCACAGCATGCCAAGTTTCTGAATATGGGAATTCAGGAGAGACGAGAGGGGGTAGTGGCTCGAGAGCTATGTATGCGTAGACAGAAAATTTTATATTTTAATATTTTGAATGATATTCTATTTCATCCCCTAAATTAATTTCAAGTCTGGCCAACAGGTGCTAACCCAAACCACTCAGCCTACGGAGCACAGCCTTGGAGCTGGGGGAAGAAGTCTAGAAATTTGAAGGCTGTGTGCCCTTAGGTGTCCAGGAGGGAAACTTGAGGCCATCCTGGCATGTGCCAGAGAGAAAGTTACAACACCACTGGGCTGACGGTTCAAGTAGATATTCTATTCCCTCAATGGATAATTAATATGATGACATGCTGCCCTCAAGGGCCCCACTATGTTCCAGTCAAACCGGACTCCTTGATGGTCCAGCCCCTGTGTCCATCTCTTTCTAGTTCTCCCTTGGGCCTGGGGTAGACTTGCTTTTCATTCCCACCTTTAGGATTTCTAGTGTCCCTGGCTTCGTTCAGGTGCTAACGTGAAACCTTTCCTGATCCACCCAAGTGCTGTCTCTCCTTTGCCCCTGTCACTATGTAACTTGTATTTATTTATATAACAAGTTGTTACTATATTAATTCATTTGAAGTAGGGGGTGGCAATATAGTAAGTCTGGGGGCCCTTAAGATCCACTTGGTTCACTTCTCTTTGGCTTTAAGGAATTGATTTTGGATGAAAATTTCTGAGTTCACGTCATAGTTACTGTAAGCCTAGAGTTAAGAAACTTCCTAACACCTAGGCAGAGGGACAGCTTTCTGCCTAAATTCACATTCATATCTGTCTCTAGTTATACTCCGGCCTCTTTGTGGTTGAGACAAAATTCAGTTGCCAGGAAACCTTTGGGTAATGCAAGAATAGATTATATAATATTGTCTGTGGATAGACAGGTATTGGGAGCAGAAGGTTGAGGAAACAGCCGAACTCTTCTTGGGTGGGACTTCACTCAGCCTGGGTCCTTCATTTCAAGATATCTGTAGAACCAATGACTCTCATCAATATATCCTGCATCTCTACCTGCCACAGCTAAGCCCTCTCTTTATTCGTCAGGAGTGTGCTGGAATGCCATGCTGGCTCCCATCTCTCCAATCCAGACCTTCCGAATCTCTTCAGAATCCAGCTCTGAGATCTCTCACGATGACTTTGATTAATTCAAAGAGGTGTATAGGCCCTGTTCACACTCAGAACTGATTGTTTGATTCAACCAAAAAGTACTCTTGCCTCGTTAAAGTATCAGAACTAAAATGACAGTGATTTCAGTCCCAATTTATATTTGTCTGCACACAAGTTATATTTCCTCAGTATGCTTCTATCTTCACATTCTCTGTACCAAGCACTGGATTGTGAATATCGTGGGTATTTAAGTGATATTTATCGAATTAAATTCTATGATTTCTTATCTCTCCTCCTACCCCCGTGAAGTCCATGGGTTGGCCCATTGTTGGTTTCTAGCAACCATGGAACTAGAAATATCCGCTCAGTTTCCCCGGTAGGGAATTAATGAATTAGCCCATGATTATGCTCTAGGATGGAAGCCTAGAGAGGCCCATTTTGAATTGTAGGGGGAGACTTTGGCTTCTCCTCTCTGTATGAGGAGGGGTTTATATTAAGGTCCTTTTGATTCTAGTGTTGTGAGACCCCCCCTCCCCACAAATGGAATCAGTGGATTTGCCCCTTTAAGGGTTCTTGGAACAGGGTCTGAAGAAGTCCATTCCAAATTCGAAGGAGAGGCATTGGGCAGAGCCCTTTCCTTCTCTGTTCCTTAGTTTCCTCCTTGTGAGAAATTAGTCTTTTGTACTTAGTTTTGAACTTATACTCAGTTTCCAACTCTTAAAGCTACTTTCCCTGTGAATGTTAATAAATCTTCCTCTGAACTCACCCCATGAATCCAGCAGGCTGGTCCATTGGAAAGTTTCAGGAATGAGACTGGTGAAATTCTTTATGAATTATAGAGGGAGGTGGATATCTTACCCTGTGGATCCATGACCTGGCTCACTGAACTGTTCCGGGAATGTTGTTTGGGAACTTCCATTCTGGGTTGCAGAGGTGGGGGTAATGGACTCCTAGGTTCTGTGGCCTGACTTCAGAAGGTTCTAGTTTAAGCCTTGGGAGAGTCCACTGTCATTCTAGGAAAGGAGGAAGGACTGGATTAATAGATTCTAGGATCCTCCCACCCCCAGGGGAGTGTCTCTAGGTGGTTGGACCCTTTGTGAGGCAGGCTGGCAGGGGCTGGGGTCAGGGGGTCAGAGTGGGTGGTGGGTCTCGGTGGACCCCCCACCCCCCTCCCCGGCACCTGGGCCGGGCCCCGCCCCCACCACTCACACCATGGCGAGTGTGGTGGTTAAGACGATCTGGCAATCCAAGGAGATCCATGAAGCCGGAGATCCCCCGGCGGGGGCCGAGAACCGGACCCCACTGGGGCCTGAGGCCCCTGGGGCTGGATCTGGCCCCGGAAAGGGGATCACCAAGAAAAAGAAGGCTGTGTCTTTCCATGGGTGGGTGGGGGCCTGGGGCTTACTGGCTAGGGGGAAGAAGAGGGAGCTGGAGTTCTCAGGAGTCTCTGGGGGGGTTGACCCAACTGTTTCCTCCAGGGTAGAGCCCTGGGGCTTGCTGGGGGGCTGAGGGGGATGGGAGAGAGGGAACTCAGGCTCCCAAGGGTGCCAGGGAAAGTGACTTGTTTGGGACAGAGTCCTGGGGCAAATTTCAGAGTTGGGAGAGAGGGGAAAGGAGGAAGCCAGGACTCCCAGGGAGTCAGGGGAGCTGACCAACCACCTCTTCCAGGGTAGAGCCCCGGATGTCCCATGAGCCCATGCAGTGGTGCCTGGACCTGAAGCGCTCCTCGGCCTGCACCAATGTCTCCCTCCTCAACCTGGCAGCCGTGGAGCCTCCTGACTCCTCCAGGATCGAGTCTACCACCGACGAGCTGCCGGCCCTGCCTGCCTCTGGGACTTCCTCGCCCCCCGCCCTGAGCCTGCCCGCCTCGGCCCCAGCCTGGGCCCCTGACGACCCTGACATTGCCGACCTGCTGGTAAGGCCCCCTCCCAGAGGGCTTGCATCCAGTACCGCCCGTGCCCCCCAAGCTCAGCCTTCGGTTCTACCTACTAGTCCCTGTGGTCCTTGCTTAGAACAGAGGGTCTCATTCCCAGACTGGTTTTCAAGGCCTGATTCTCATTTAGACCTAAGACCCCAGGCTGATGGTTGAGTGACCGGTGACATTTCACTCTGTGGACTCACGCTGTGACTCTTTTAGACCTGAGGCTTCAGGTCCAGGACTCATATTTGGGGTCTCCAAGACAGATCGGGGTTCTAGGCTGTGGAAGGTGCCCTCAGGCTCAATCTTCTGTGAGTGGGTTTAAAGCCCAGTTTGGAGGATGCCCAGGCTTCCACACTCCCTGGCCCAGAATCAGAACGGCAGAATGGAAGCTAACACCACCCCCTCCTCCCTTTCCCCCTACCCCCAGTATGGAGATATGGAAACTGAGGGGGCCTCAGAAGAGGAGAGGAACAGAGGGACTGGAAAACAGAATCGGGCCTTTGGCTTCTGGGTTGGACAGGACAGTGCCTTAGGTGCATTTCAACTCCGGGTTCTGGGCTTTAAGTGCCAAATTTCAAGTTCCGGTCTTGAACCTCATGGAGCCAACCAACTAATGAAGCACCAAGCATTTATTAAACACCTACTATATGCCAAGGGGATTGGAAGACACAAGGGAAGGGAAAGGGAACTAAGAATTTTATAATGCCTACTATGTGCCAAACACACTACTAAGGGCTTTACAATGATCATCGCATTTGATCCTCACGACAACCCTGAGAGGTAGGTGCTGTTATTATCTCCATTTTACAGTTGAGGAAACTGAGGCAGGCAGAAGTTAAGTGATTTGCTCAGGAATGAGACAGGCTGTGCAAAGGTGTGAGATTGTGTGTGACAAGAATCAGGCCAACTTGGCTGGCCCAAGAGGACATAAAGAGAGAGCTTCTCTTAGGGGGCTCACTAAGAGCTCCTATTTGATGCTGGATTCTCCGGACAGACGTCTGAATTGGTTAAGCAGGTCAGCGAGATGTGTTTTAGGAAATTCGCTTTGGTAGCTGTGAGGAGGGAACCTCAGCGGCATCTCCTCCATCCCCCACTACATTATCACCCTCACCTCCGTAAGTAGGTGGTCTGCCTTTGTCTGGACAGACTCAGGAGTGGGAAGAGACTGAGGCAAATAACCCAAGTTGGCTGAATTCCAGGCATTAGGATGTGACATGGCAGGGAAGCCTTAGGGCCCACGAGTGAACCCCAAATCCATGAATCTCCAAAAAGCTCGCTTCCCTTCCCCACCGCTAGAGTTGAGAGGGCACTTGCCTGGCTCCAGGGCTGGGGAACACAAGCAGCTCAGTGCGGGGTACTGTTCCCCTGAGCCCCTCCGTGTCCTACAGAATGGGGTGAACAGCGGCTTGCTGCGGGCCAAGGACTCCATCACCAGCCTCAAGGAGAAGACCACCCGGGTCAACCAGCACGTCCAGTCGCTTCAGGTCCCACTAGCCGCAGCCCAGAACAACCCCTCCCCTTCCTAGATCTCCCCCCATGACCCCTCACGTGTGAATCCTGGGTTGGTGGGGGGGGGCAGGGCCTTGCCCTGGACACCCTGGTGAGCCTGTGGAACCATCACACACCCCCTCGACCCCAGAAAATCCCCGTCTCTCTCTGAGTCTGAGCCTGCGCGGGCCACCACGCGCCCACACTCCTCCTGCCGGCCCCCAACTCTTCTGCCGCTTTGGGCCTCTCCTCCCCATAGAGCGAGTGCTCGGTGCTGAGCGAGAACCTGGAGCGTAGGAGGCAGGAGGCCGAGGAGCTGGAGGGATATTGTAGCCAGCTGAAGGTGAGAAGAAATTCAAGGAGGTGTCAGTGGGCGGGTCCACGGGGTAGGTGAGGCGGGGTTAAAGGGGCGGGGCCAACCGAGTCCAGGACCCCTGGGGTGGCATTGCGTGGTCTTGGTTAGGAAAGGGCACTTGGTTCGTCTGAGGGCGGGTCTGGGGGAGGCCTGTGGGCACGGTCACTTGCGTTAAAGCAGGGATGGGGGCTAGCCGGGGGCTGGGTCCAAGGGGAGCCCCTGCATCCCCGGGGAGGGCTTCCTCCCCTAGCCCCCACCCCCAGCCCCAGATGTCCGGTCCCAGGAGAATTGCCGGAAGGTGACCCGCTCAGTGGAAGACGCTGAGATAAAGACAAACGTCCTGAAGCAGAACTCGGCCCTGCTGGAGGTGAGGGACGCCTGGGTCCCGGGGCGGGCGCTGGGCCCGCCAGAGAGCCCAGAGCCTCCGAGCCTGGGGGGCGGGAAGTCAGATCGGCAGAAGCACCCCCCCCCCCAGTGAGCCGGCCTTGGTCATCCCGCGCCCCAAGCCCGTGGAAACCCGCCCATCTCCCAGTGACAGCAAGAGGGATCGGGGTCAGGCTCCCAGCAGGCCTTCCTTCTCCTCGCCTCCCCAGGAGAAACTCCGGTTCCTCCAGCAGCAGCTGCAGGATGAGTCCCCAAAACGACAGGAGTCTGAGCTCCCGGAACTGGAACAGCAGCTGGAGGCCGGACTGTCCCGCTACTCATTGGTCTCCTCCTGCCCCACTCCGCCCCCCGAAGAGACCCAGCCCCACATTGAACCCCAGCCCCAGCCCGACCCAGAACCCGAGCCCGAGCGCCACCCGGAACCGGGGCTGGAGCCTGAGCCCGGTCCTACTTCCACGCCCCAGACGGGCAGCCCCACGGAGCCCTCTGGACCGAGGGTTCCAGTCAAGCCCGGGGACGGGCTCGAAGGCCAGAGCGACGGCCAGGGCCAGGGGCGCACAGGGGAGAGTGGAGAACTGGAGCTGCAGAAGGTCACCGCCGGCCTGGAGGAGCTTAGGTGACGGACCCGAGGCCGGCCAGTCAGACGGGGCCGAGGGGGGCGTTGGGCGCCACATTAGGACAGAGGGGCGCAGCTATTTTGCCCGACGGGGCTGGGAAGGTATCCAAGCCTTCGTAGGACAGAGAAGGAAGGGCCAATCCTGGAGCTGAGATTCCAAATCATTTTAGGATGTAGAGGGCAGAGTTAACCTGGGAGCGTGCGTTTCTAGAACAGAATGGAAGGGGCTAGTCTGGGAAGTGGGAATTTCAAGACCGATTAGGTGTGGAGGGCGGAGCTATACTGGGGCGGGACCAATCTGGAAACCAGGAGGGCTCATTCCAGCCCCTAAAGTGGAGAGAACAGCAAGGCAGCTACTCGTCAGTTATCGGCGAAAGGGGTGCCTTTCCCGGGCTTGTGAGAAGAGAGGAGGCGAAGGGATCCGAACTGGGGGAGAGGCTCTGGGACTCTGCTTCTGGAGGTGGGGTCCCTGGAGCAGGCAGACCCCTGAGCACGACTCGCTGGCTTCCCCGGGCAGGAGAGAGGTGTCCTCGCTGACGGCACGCTGGTATCAGGAGGAGGGCGCGGTGCAAGAGGCGCTTCGACTGCTCGGAGGTCTCGGGGGGCGGCTGGACGGCTTCCTGGGCCAGTGGGAGCGGGCGCAGAAGGAGCAGGCCCAGACTGCGCGGGGCCTCCAGGAGCTGCGGGGCCGGGCGGACGAGCTCTGTACCATGTGAGGATCCTCCGCTCCTCCCCCTCGGGAGCCCCCAATGCCCATCCTCCGAGAGTAGGCCGGGAGGGCTGATCGCGGTCCTCTCAGACCTCCCGGGCAAGGCCCCTAAGCTGTAGAAGATGAAATGGCGGGCCAATTTGGGAACTGGAAGGGCTTTAGAAGGATGAAAAGGCAGGAGCAGGCTGGTCTGAAGTTGGTTCCACGCAGGGTGCCACTAATTTGGGGACCCAGACTTTGTTGGGATGTGGCCTGCTGAGCCCCTCCATACCTGCCCTGCCCCCAGGGTGGAGCGTTCTGCCGTGTCCGTGGCTTCACTGCGGGGGGAGCTGGAGGGCCTGGGTCCCGTGAAGCCTGTGCTGGAGGAGCTGGGTCGACAGCTGGGCAGCGCCCGCCGAGGCTCCGAGCTCGCTATGGCCTTGGACCGGCCGGGCTCCTGCACTCGCTGCGGCAGGTAAATCCCCGACGCCCCAAGCCGCAGGGCCTGGGGTTGGGGAGGGGTGTCGTGGTCCCGGAGCCCTACCTGGACCCGAGTGGGATGCTCCAAGAGCACCTCGGATCTGGAAGGTCGTGGTCCTGATGAAAAAGGGATGGGAAGGGGGAAGCTCCCGGGCATCTCGGAGCTGGAGGGCTGTGTTCGGGCTCCTGGGTGATGGAGGTGGGGAGTCTGGATAAGTGCCCGAACCTGAGCCCATCGCCCCCAGCCAGGGGCAGCTGTCGTCGGAGTCCCTGCAGCAGCTCCTGGAGCGGGCCCTGACGCCGCTGGTGGACGAAGTCAAGCAGCGTGGCCTGGCCCCTGCGTGCCCCAGCTGCCAGCGGCTACATAAGAAGATCCTGGTACGAACCACCCCCACTCCCACCCCGCCCCGGGAACCTGGTACGGGGCCGGCCAAGTGGGGAATGGGAATGTAAATGGGCACCATGAAGACCCTGGTTCTCCCTCCTGTCACTGCAGGAGTTAGAGCGCCAGGCCCTGGCGAAGCATGTGCGGGCTGAGGCTCTGAGCTCCACTCTGAGGCTGGCCCAAGATGAGGCCCTCAGGGCCAAGAACCTGCTGCTCACAGACAAGATGAAGCCTGAGTGAGAGGCCTGACCCCTGACCTCATCTGACCCCAGTGTGTCCCTAAACCTTTGACCTGCTATAGCTGTGATCAGGGCCTCATCATGACCCCTGACATCCTGTACGAGCCCTATCGCTGATTTCTCCTGACCCTAACCTACATGACCATGACATGACTGCTGATGTTATCATGACCAGCTAGTGACATCCTAGTGTGATCCCTGAGAGAATGACCTGTGACCCCTGACCCTTACTACTTCTCCTGCTTCTGACCCAAACCTCAAAGCCTTTGTGACCTTGAATGCTTCCATGCCCCATCATCTAAGTGCTCTTGTCCCTCCTCCGTGCAGGGAGAAGGTGGCTGCTTTGGACTACCTGCATCTGAAGATGTGCTCCCTACATGACCAGCTCAGCAGCCTCCCTCTGGAGGGATCGGCCACGAGCCTAGGGGGAGGGAGCAGTGGAGGAGCCCCTCCAAAACGTGGGGGCCCCGCACCTGAGCAATAAAACCTCAACCCCAGCCCTGCTTCCTGTCTCCTCTCTGCAACACTAGAAATGCATTGCAACAGGCCTTTATTAGTCAGCCACAAACTCTGTCCAAGACCTTGTGAAGAGCCCTCAAGGGGCCTTCCGTTCTATTGGAGCAGTGACCAAAAGATTGGGGCTGAGGAGGGCTATAGTCAGGGCTTCAGACGGCCAAGGTGGGGCAGCTAGGTGGAGCAGTGGTAAAGCTCTGACCTTGGAGTCAGGAAGACCTGAGATCAAATCAGGCCTCACACACTTGGCACTTACTAGCTGTGTGACCCTGGGCAAGTCACTTAACCCCCATTGCCTCAACCCCCCCCCCCAAAAAAAAGTCAAATGGCCAAGGATCTGGCTAAGGGTAGGATGGGGCTGAGGTTTGTTCTATGGACATAATGAGGATAAATGTGGAAGGGCTGAGGGTGAAGCTAAGGAAAGGAGGGGGTTTTGTTCAGTTCTATCATTTTACAAATAGGGAAACTGAGGCTCAGGGGGGTTAGCTTGAGTTCCAGAGGACCTGCTGCTCTTCTGACACCAAACCAGCTTTTTTCCTACCATAACAAGAATGGGTTCTTTGGGTGGATCTTCAGGGAAGATAAAGACTGGTGAGAGTAGCCTGAAGCCGAACCCAGAGATTGGGCTTGAATTATGTTGAACAAGATTGAGTTCCCAAAGGGGCCCTGGGGTTGGTTAATGACGGATGATTGAGTTTGTGTTTGGATAGACATTCATTTGTTGGGGTGAGATGATGGTGAAATTGGGATGAAATCTGGTCTGAGGGGCTGATTTGGACAAAATATGGCTGGGCTGTGTTTATGACTGAGGCTAGGACTCTGGATGGGCTGCTGATGTCGGAGATAAACGAGAAGTTAGCCCCCATCAGTACTCTTCTTCCTTTAAGCCTGTTCTGGATTCCTGGGGCTGATTTTTAGGGGCTGGAGTTAGAATTAGCCTTTCCTGTCAATTCACCAGTTAGCAGCAAAATACTTTTTACATGGGCAACTATGATGTAAGGAAGTCTACTGACATACTAGAGAAGTGGAGGCCAACCTCTACAAAAGAATTTTCTGTGACCTAGAGATATTTACTGAAGGATATAGGTTCAGCTGTTCCTATGAATTTGTCCAACATGATGTCTGTTCAGCACAGTGCAGAGGGAAAATGTGGGATCCAGGATTGAACAGGAGGTAGAAAGCAGGGTGGATTGCCTTTAGAAAATTGCAAAGTTCTTAATCAGACCTAGCTTCCAATGGTAGCAAAAACCTATTTTTTAATACCATCATTCTACCAATGTTGTTGTATGTCAGTGAGATATTGAATTACCCGGTGTCTGAAGAATTGAAAAATGATTATCACAGGGCAGATGAGAGTGCATAATGGGTGTGAGAAGCCTGCAACATGTAACCAGTGAGGAACTTCAGGGAACAGGTGTAAAAGATACCAAGGAAATGTAGGATAGGAAGAAAAGACAGGCCAATCACAAGATGACAGTGAGGGAGGACAGGTGGATAGCCACAATGTCCTACCGTCCACAATGTCCTTCAGGTGTCAGGAAAAATCCTCCAGGGAGTTGGGTTTACCACCCCAAAGCAAACATGGAAGAAGATGGGCAAGAGTCACACAGGACGGGAGCTTCCAAATTAAGCATTTGATTCCTAGCAATTACAGCCATTCACTAGTGCAGGGAGCCTTGGGGCTAGGGGTTCCCCCCCCCCCCCCCCCGTCCCCATGTGGAATGGGCCACCTTGAGAGGTAATGGGCTTCCCTTCCTTGAAGGTCTTCAGGATGAGGCTGGATTATCACTTTGTAGTTTGGAATAGGAATTCCCCTCAACTAAGGGTTGGACCAGATGATGTTTGAAGACCCATCTCTGAAACTCTGTGATCTACCTCTGCACAAGAGTTATTTGTAACCTGGGCTCCACTGAACCATGAGCCCTTCAAAGCTATATGAAGTTCAAGGCACTCTTTGGGTATTTAAAGCCACAGTTCACAAGCCCTTGCTGTTGACTCTCTAACAACCAGAAAAAACTACAGGACAAGTTGAAACAAAAGGCAATTAAACAGAGTAGCAAAGCAAATAAGGAAAATTTCCACCCCACCCCTCCCCAATATATGCACTCTTCCACACTTTGGTACATCTCCTATTGGCAAGGAAGCTTTTGCAGGAAACAGAGGTAACTAGAGCACCTCACTCTCAGTACCTGCACCCCACCCCCTCTCTATCTTTTACCACTGGCTGTTATCTACCAGTCAATGATAGCATCTATTGAGCCAGATCTCCTTTCCGAACTAGAAGTTGTTGGTGTTAATTGCTGGACTGCTTTCTCTACCATGCTGCCATCTGCTGGTTATCTGCTGAGCAGCTGTCATCTGATGATTTCGCCAGCTATGGTCATTTTCTGGTTCTCTGTTCAATTAGAGCTTCTACTCAGCCTCTTCCCTGCACAGGAGCAGTCCCAGCTCAGTTGTGCACTTAGAGGTACCCCATATCTTCGCTTTTACTTCAGCAATCATCTTTCCATCCAGGGTTGGAGGTGAGAAAATCTCTTTCAACTCTCATCATGCCCCTATCCTGGACTACAGAGTGCCAAGAGCATACAAAATGTCCTTGAGTTCTACTTAGAGAAGTCTAGGGGAGTGAATCGGCACTGGGGACCTTCAATCTGCCTGCCTTCCTTCCTCCTGGAACTAAAACTGAAGCTCTCCCCATACTGTCCAGTAAAAATATACAGTCCAGAGGGCAGAGCCAAGATGGTGGAGCAAAGGCAGGGATTCACCTGGGCTATCCCCCAAACCTCTCCAAATACCTTTAAAAATAACTTTAAACAAATTCCAGAGCAGCAGAACCTACGAAAAGAGAGAGTGAAACAAATTTCCAGCCCAAGACAACCTGGAAGGTCAACAGGGAAGGTCTGTGCCAGGCTGAGAGAGGAGCATAGTCCAGCACAGGTCCGCCAGTGTAGACCAGGCCCCATTAAACCCAGAGCAGGCCCCGATGTGAGTAAATCTCTGCCAGCAGGGGAGGTTTCCAGACTTCTCAGCCCACAGACGCCAAAGACAACTTAGAAGGTCAGGAGGAAAGGTCCGTCACACCTGGGTGAGAGTGGCACACGGCAGTGTCAGCACAGCCCTGGCACCAGCAAACCAGGAGCAGGCCTTGGGAGCCACTGAATCAGCAGAGTAGTAGCTGCTTCTGGAGCTCTCAGCCCACAGATGGCAAGGGGGTCAAACAACTGGTCAGAAGGAGATGACAGGGCTCTCTTTGCTAGCACTGAGGCAGGACTCTGTTGCTTTGCCCATACTCGGATCTGGGTTGCAGTCTTGGGTGGCAGTCCTAGGGTGAGGAGAAGCACTGGCATAGCACAGCTTGTGGCTACAGTGGAGGGGGGACCCTCCTCCCAGTTCCAGGACAGAAAAGAGTGCTTGCGGTTGCTTACAGACCAGAGCACAGGTCAGGAGAGGAGCAAACACCTCTCCTTAGATCGTACTACCTTAGAAGAACTGAAAACTTACAGGTCCCTAGAAGTATCTCTGAACACAGCTGCACAAAACCCCTGAAGCTTGGGACAGTGCACCATCCATCCTGGAAGGAGAGCCCTACATTAACAAAGAGTTAAAAAGTCAAGTAATAGGCTGAGAAAATGAATAAACAAAGGAAAAAAATCTGACTATAGAAATTTACTTTGGTGACAAGGAAGATCAAAACACACACCCAGAAGAAGACAACAAAGTCAAAGCGCCTACATCCAAAGCCTCCAAGAAAAATATGAATTGGTCTCAGGCCATGGAAGAGCTCCAAAAGGAGTTTGAAAATCAAGTAAGAGAAGTAGAGGAAAAATTGGGAAGAGGCATGAGAGTGATGCAAGAAAATCATGAAAAATGAGTCAACAGCTTAGTGAAGGAGACCCCCCCAAAAATGCTGAAGAAAATAACACCTTAAAAATAGACTAGGCCAAATGGTAAAATAGTAAATGGTAATGGTAAAAGAGGTCCAAAAAGCCAATGAGGAGAAGAATGCCTTAAAAAGAAGAATCGGCCAAATGGAAAAGGAGGTCCAAAAATTCACTGAAGAAAATAATTCCTTAAAAATTAGAATGGAGCAAATGGAAGCTAATGACTCTATGAGAAATCAAGAAATCATAAAACAAAACCAAAAGAATGAAAAAAATGGAAGACAATGTGAAACATCTCATTGGAGAAACAACTGACCTGGAAAACAGACCCAGGAGTGATCGTTTAAAAATTATTGGACTACCTGAAAGCCATGATCAAAAAAAGAGCCTAGGCATCATCTTTCAAGAAATTATCACAGAAAACTGTCCTGATATTCTAGAACCAGAGGGTAAAATATAAATTGGAAGGATCCACTGATCACCTCTTCAAAGAGATCCCAAAATGAAAATGGCCAGGAATGTTATAGCCAAATTCCAGAGTTCCAGGTCAAGGAAAAACTATTGCAAGCAGCCAGAAAGAAATAATTCAAGTATCATGAAGCCACAATCAGGATAACACAAGATTTAGCAACTTCTACATTAAAGGATTGGAGGCCTTGGAATATGATACTCCAGAGGGCAAAGGAGCTACGATTACAATCAAGATTCACCTATCCAGCAAAACTGAGTATAATCAATGGGGGGGGGGGGGGGGATATTCAATGAGGTAGGTGAATTTCAAGCATTCTTGTGAAAAGACCAGAGCTAAATAGAAAATTTGACTTTCAAATACAAGACTCAAGAGAAGCATGAAGAGGTAAACAGGAAAGATAAATCATAAGGGACTTATTAAAGTTAAACTGTTTACATTCCTACGTGGAAAGATGATATTTGTAACTCATAAGACCTTTCTCATTATTAGGGTAGTTAGAAGGAGTACATATAGACAGAGGGCACAGGGTGAGCTGAATATGAAGGGATGATATCTAAAAAATAAAATTAAGGGGTGAGAGAAGAATGTACTGGGAGAAAGAGAAAGGGAGAGGTAGAATGAGGTAAACTAT